CTGTTACAACTCTGGTGGTTGAAGATGTCAGCAATTGCGACTTCATAGATTTTGAAGGGCAAGTGTTGTTCTACCAGAAAGTAAAAGAATTAGATCGATCTGAGCAGTGATCGCCGAGAACGAGAATTTTGAAAAATTAAGCGATTTTAGGTTACTTATCGACAGCTGGCGTTTTGACTCCTATAAATCTGAAATGTGAAGGTATTCATTGTTGCGACTTCATAGGTTGGATTCTCCTTTGCAAGAGCTTTCAGATGATATATAATATGTGCATACCTTCACATTTCAGATTTATAGGAGTCTGAACGCCAGCTGTCGTTAAGTAGCCGAAAATCGCTTAATTCTTTAAAATTCTCGTTCTCGGCGATCACTGCTCAGATCGATCTAATTCTTTCACTTTCTAGTAGAAAAACAGTTGCCCTTCAAAATCTATGAAGTCGCAATTGCTGACATCTTCAACCACCAGATTTATAACAGTGGAAATTTCGCATGATTTTTTCGCTATTTTATCATTCGAAATTCTGGTTCTCGGTGATTACTGCCTGGATCGACCTACTTTATTCGCAGTACGTTATACAAAATTTACTTGATAAAATACTTGAAGTCTAACTGGATTTTACTCACAAATAGACCATTCAAACAACACGTTTATCTCTTTTTTTTAATTTTTATGCCACTGTACTCGTCGTATTTGTGGCCCTAAAGAGGGCCGCTAGGTCACACTTGTTGGCCCTCAAGGGGACCGTTGGGTCAGAGTTCTCCAATTATCCGAAGTCCCCCCCCCCCCCCCCGGTCGACGTTTTTGAGAGGTGAGTGCCTGGCACTACCACCTTCACTTTTGGCCGGCCAGTGGTAGCTGGAACCACCTTCACTTTTGGGGGGCCCGGCTCCACCTATCGCACCTCTGCCCCTGATGCTGCTGATGAAAGGAGAATTAGGTGCAACTTGCGGTAATTTCTCCGTCCTTTTTGTCTCCCCCCTCCCCCCCCCCCCACGAATTGCTCCCCGACACTTTTTGACTGGTAATCACAGTCGAGACCATACAGTGTAATTCGTTCCTGTTGCATAATGGAAACAGCGCTGGAGCTCGTGCACCATTGCCAAAGGTTCCAAAGAAAGGTTTTCACGTATTCTGCACTTCATATGCGAAATCGGCGCCCGGAAGAGCCCAATAATGATAGAAATATGAAGGACGAAAATCTGGTGGGCGTAGCCTTTAAAAACAGCGTACACCCAGATTCTATGTTACCCAGTTTTCTATACGGTGTATATGTAGGACCCAAAAGAAGACCCTGCGTGGTCCGGTCTCCCAATGTTGCTTCTAAGGGAGAAAACGCATCTGATTCTTTTTTGCGCTCCTCCCATTTTTTGCGGTACGCCTCCTTCGGGCGAATCCAGGACAGCTGTCATGCAGTTGCAGCTGCTCCTCGCTGGCATGCCGACGGGGTCGAGCAATTCGAATCTCGTCCGCTCTCTAAAGAGGAGGTCTTGGGAATCGGGGTTTCTTTAGGGGTTTTGGAGAATGTGAATTTCATAATTGTGATCAGGGTCACGGAAAAGTCCCAGGATGACAAAAACATGGCAGGCGGAAATATTGAGTGTACGCTGCCTTTAGGAATGATGCGGCTTATATATTCACGTCCATGTATGTACTGAAGATTTATCAGCGTGATTTGGAAATTAATCTAGTAAGCAATTTGTAACCAGAGTCCCCACCAAGCACTGCATGTCTGTGAAAGATAGTCTTTGCCGGTGAATTTCAGGCAAAAGAGCACAATTGCACAATTCAGATTCGGTTCCTTTGCTATTCTTAGGCATTAGTTAAAAATGAATGGACAAGAGTATGCATGCGAAATTAGAAGAAAATTTCAACTGATCTAAAGGTCAGTGAAAAAATGGTATTTCCCACACAACCGATATTTCAAGGAAGTCGTAGATGGACGGGCAATAGACATGAAACGAACCAAAGAAAACTGGTTGTAGGACGATTCGCACGACCATAATGCTTTCTACACAGGACCACCGCCGCGCGCGACACACCCTGCGGCGGCTTTTGCCTAAGCAAAACAGGGGGAAGACAGATTTGGGGCGTGCATTACATGTTAAGACAGGTCAAAATCAGGGAGACTCTGGAGACCGCCCGTGCGAAAAGACCGTCTCCCAAGAAAACTTTTTTATGAGCACACCTGCCTAACCGTGCTGGGAAAAACACGCTTCTACCAGTTTGAATTTTTTCGGGACTCACATGGTGATTAATGTGACCCTAATGTAACTGCTCTCAAGACAGACCAGTAGATTGACTCTCTCTCCAGCTCGGACCAAGTTTGTCGGAAAAAGGCAAAAACACATAACAAAACAATTACTTGAGACAAAGGATAGTGGACACTTTAGCATGTTGAAATCTCATACTAAACAGTGGTCAAAATTTTCTCATGTATTTGAGAACCTCAAAAAGGGTTAGACCGTCCGTATGTCACTCTGAATACAGCAAGCCCAATAAAAAAATCAGGGGTCTTTTATCAACCACAAGTTTGCAGCAAACTTTCGAGCACTGCTCAGAACTGTGTTTGAATTGAAAGACTGCTGCTCCTTTTGAAAAAATCAAAGATGAAATAGGCTGGAGTCTTCACAATGATGCCAAATATAACAGAAGATGTGCTGCAACTTCTCTTCAACAGTGATAGACACCTCCTATATCGGAACTTACATTAGAATTTAGTACTATGGCTACGAATGTGAAAAACGAAGGAGTAAATGAACGGAAGCATTAATTTCGCCATGAATGCTAAATTGCGAGGACAGTTTGTGACTATTTTCGACCACGATCTACAAAAACTCTAGAGCTTAACTCGTAGTATTCGACCCCTCACTCTTGTTGAAAAATGTGCTTATTGATGCGATATTGTGTGGCTTACACGGCTATATTGACTTTAGGCTTATAAAGTGTGTTTTTACATAAAAGGTTCTCGTAACTATGGCAATGCAATTGAATGCATTCAAGCATCCATGCGATTCTTTGTTGAATCGCTAAAATTCTATTTTTTCAGTCACTACCGAATTTTTTCAGTAACCCTTCCGATGAGTTCGCCTGGTCTATGACGCTTACCTTGATCAGGGCCCAGTACGAGGTGGCATATGAGAGATTCAAAAACGAAGTCTCCCTTGACATTGCAGGAAATTACGAGATAGTTTTTGGAGCATTTGTATAGGGTGCGAAAAAGTACTGTCCCTCAGTCTGCCTCCTGAAAAATCTCACAAATGGAGAAAATCTATAGTTTTCAGATATCCACATGTAGGCAAGACTTTGTAGATCCGACTAAGATAAGTTTGATTTGGAGCGGTTCCCTTCTTTTTATTTAAACGAGTGATAACAGCGAGGAGCATCATCGACGATGCGCCGCAGCGTTTGAGTGCGATTTTGGACCGTAACTATACGAACAAGAGTGATATCAGTTTCAAATTAAGAAGGTATGTAGAGCAGACTCTCGTCTCCAAAATCCTATACTTATGGTGAATCAACGACTTCAAATTTTGGCTAAACAAGGAAAATTATATCCCAAGCCAATTCCAATCTGCTCTTGCTCAATGAATTGGATCCAAACTATGGTCCGAAAACTCCAGATTCAAACAAAAAGTAAGAGGAATGATGAAAAGAACATCATAATTTTGAGGCACCAAACGATTGTACTTAATTTCTGTTCCACTTTTTCTGGTTGCACCCTGTTGCGCCGCAGACGCTAATTCGTTGAAAACTTCCCAACTTTTCTCCTATTGCAACTGCGGCCTGGCTACTCCCAGCATATTTCGAAGACATTACAACATTCCTTAAGCAGTAGAAGATTTCCCAAATCCACGTTGGAAACAAAAGAATTTTCCAAAAAACTTCACACTTCCTTTACATTTGTAAAAGGGAGTTGAAGATTTGATATGGGTGTGCTGCGAAAGGGCATATGCCGCCGGGTGAAATTGCAGAATTTTTGAGCCAGTTTTTGTGAAATGCTTGATTACATTCACATCTTAGAAATTGCGTCAAATTTACCAGAAAAACATGGGAATCACACCGATTTTTTTGCCTTTATTTTGAAGGACAGTACTTTTTCCGCACCCTGTAGAAGCTCTAAGAACGTGCAGTGAAAAAAAATTGAACTAAAGTGAAGCAAAGACAAGAATAATCTAACGTTGAAAAGCAAAATGCCAAAAAAGGCAGTTTTATACCATTAAGAAACGTAACAAAGCGTAGAGGACGAAACTTGGGTCAAGGTGAGCACTATAGGTAGAGCTTCATCTAAGGAATAGATTAATGTAAAAAAAATTTGAAATTTATGTTGGGGGAAAATTGTGAATATTCATGATTTTGCCTGGTCCCGCGCAACCTCAGGGTGCTCCCAGGTTACGCGAGAGCAACCTAAGTTCGAAAAACACTTGCAACTCCTCCGTTTATATAATTTTTCTTCTTCTTTTGACATCGTTGCGGATGGACACACCAAATTTGGTGGCACAACATTGCTTACTGGTTGTAAACAAACCGATTACTTATATTTTTGTGCGTAAAGATTGTGTTTTGACACGTTCAAATCGTGTGCACACAGGTTTACAAACTGTCGTGTTTGTAACGTGATAATGTTAGCCCTTTCAACTGGGCTTAGAGTTAGAGTTGTTAGGGCTGTGTTTCCTAATATTTCGTCAGGTTTCCGAATGGAGACTTTAAAGGCGCGTGAAAGCGCCACCTCCGTGAGCTCTGACCTTGATACCCCTTTTCTGACATAATCACTTTCTCAAGTTCTCACATCATGATATATACCCTGCTTTATACTCTCAGATTTGAAGAACCAGCTTATACAGTGAGAAACCAATCAAACATTTTCGCACCACTCGGCACTTTTTATACAGTCCTTGCACAAAGCGAGTATTTCAAAAAAGGAAACGACGATTTGAGTGCTATGCTATCGTTCACATGCAGGAAATGATACCTCAGGCGTAACCCTTGACACCTGGCTCCTCGTAGAACTTTACATTTATTTGACGTTCAGAAAATCAAATTACATCTAACAAGAATAAAACTTGCCAAGATAAAAGTCAATATGTCCAATTTTACATATATTTAGTGCAAATGCGATAATGAGAAACACGGGGGGAAACACTAAGAGTATACAACAAGAACGGTTGTCAAAAAAGAATGCGTGAAATGCGTAGGCGGTGAGAATGGGCGGATGACAGAAGCATTGGATGTCGGCTTTCTTAAAAAAAGAAAAATAAATTCAAGAATTACAAGTCACTAGAAAGCGCTATTCCAGCCAGGTTAGTTTGATTTCAGATACGTAAATGATTTAAGATTGATTCCGACAGGATGCTGGGAATTCAATGAGTTATATGTTATTTGTTATTTGTTAATGCGACAATTTTGAACTAAACACTTGTGATGGAAGCGACTAAGCGCAACAACGAGCCAAATATAGGTCTAAAGAGAAGGAAGCAGCAAAAATGACCCTCAACATGCGACCTCCAAAGAACCACTAACGGAAGTGATCAATTGTATGCGAAGTCCTGTACCGCTACGCCGTAGCGGTAAGCCTTGCAGCTAATACAGAAACAATCTGAGTAACAGAACTGAATGGTACACGACAGACGGCGAAATGCCAAGAGAAATAGAAAAGAGGAGCAAGAGACAGAAAATAATATCTTGTGCAATAATCATTCATACGAACATAAGCAAGCCTCACAAAAAAAAGAAATTCGTAAACAAGCAAGATGTTGACCGAGATATATTAGTATACAAAAACAAAACCAATCGAAATAATGCTATATGAGGAATTGACAGTCGAGCATCGAACTGCTCAACAACATATCGACTAGCAGAGATGCGCCTATAGTGCTGAATCCAAACAGCTCATCATATCACTTGCATGAAGACGACGAAAGAGAAAATAGCACGGGGTTATCTGAAATTGTTTTGCATTAGCAAGATAAAGAAGTAAATGCAATAAATTTAAGTTTTCAATCAATGTCACCACTGACCCCCCCCCCTAACACAGAACAACATTGAATTGCAGCATTAACGAGTTATCGAATACTTTTTCCCCATGAAAAAAGAGCAGAAATAATTCGAAATTGTGAATAATTACTCAAGATATTAAGTTTTATGGACTTTGAAAGAGAGTTTGGTAAACACTGCCTCAGCAATGATGTCAAGTTCGTTGCATCTGAAAAAAGCGTTGACGCTGGCGATGACGCATATGCGTCAAAAGACGCATTTCATTGCAACATATCGGCATGAAGTGAGATATAGGCTTTGAAAAACGAATAAATTGTACAGTTGAATTAATTTTATATGATCATGTGTGGCATTGCACACACTGTCCATCTTTGGCGTCCTCATCCTGGAGTTTCAATAGCAAAAACGCAAGAGACCGACCGATTCTCATCGCTCATATCACTTTGAGGTGACTAGTACCTAGAAAGAGTAGAAAACATCAAAAACACATCGAGACCAATCATTAGAATGGTTATCGGCTCCAGGAGTCGTGGATGGGGACGCCAAAGGTGGGCATTGTGTGCATTGACACACATGATCATATGAAATGATTTGACTGTATAAATGCGATAAAGATTTTACGACATTCGCCAGCTGCATGTACATTCGGTTTTTTTTTCAAGTGCGAAGTTCATCACTTGCAGTCTCAGCACTACAGCATTTCAGAAATGCACCCGGTTTACTTTTTTTCTCAAAGTGACAACTGCCTTTACTCTTTAAACAAGCTATTTTTTTCTTAATCATGCTCAAGATGAATAGTAAAGGCGATTCCCCGACAAAAGCGGTTGGTTCTTCCATTTCTCTAAGCGAGTGCAAATACCGCGTTCGAGCAGCCTTTTATCATTAGAGCTCGTAATGCGCATGCTTCACATTATTAGCTGCTTTCGAATCTATGTTTTCTTGGGTTCTTGTGCACGACTATGTTCGAGATAAATGATATTTGGTAAATTTAGCAAAGATAACTTCCTCTACTTTTATCATAATTAGACTAAAATCAAAAAAAATTGTAGCTTTGCAGACTAATTCCAAAAGTAAAACCTCAAGCAGTAGCCGTGAAAGATTTGAATGCAACCGACAAAATTGGTGGCAACCACTGTCTTCTACACTTCTAATTATAGTCATGCGTTATTGTTAACTTGGGAAATACTTTACATATAAAGAGTTGTCTGCACATACATTTTTGAAATTTATGTGATGAAAACATTAAATTTCTGATGTACCCTCGATGGTTCGCCAACCCCGGAATATAAATAATGCACTTTCTACGAGTGTTTTTCCCAACATACATGTCATTCTCTATGAGTGCTTTTTCCCAATGTACATGTCATTCTATTCCATACAAAGCAAGGCATTTGAGCCATAATGGACATGCCATATGAAAAACTTTTGCAAGCGCCTCAATAAGCAGTACCGACAAGAAGACAGACCTGACTCATAAAAAAAGTTAGAGGCAAAGTAGCCATTCACAGGAAGTTGCATATCAGCAAAAAATATTGACTCTCTCTCTCTCTCCCTCTCTCTCTCTCTTTCTCTCGCTCTCTTTGCCAACCTCTGAGACAAACTTTTGAGCAATTTATTCAGTGAAATCCCAAGGAGAATGCTAATCTACAGACAAGATGCATTACTGGCTGATTTGAGGCCAACATGCACGCGAGTAATTTTGAAAGTAGCTAAAATCCTTTATGTGTCCCTATTTGCAAAGTTGAAAGCAGACTTCTTCCACAAAAAGTGCTCAAAACTTCAGACTTCTCGAAGATAGATCCAACAACACCGTTTTATGCAGCATTCAGTGGTATGCGGCTGGTCGGAAATGGCCCTTTCAACTTTCAATCATTTTTTGTACAACAAAAAAAACTACATGGTTTTTTTTCGCTATTGTTTACAATCTTCGACACCGTCCCGATGACAAGCATGTCATCTTCTAGCAAATTTATTTGGTTACATACGAACGATTCAGAGCAATAAAAATAAGCACACTGAAGATCATTTGAGAAAATTCCACGAAATAGATGACAGACAAGTGTACTTCGAACACTTTGCATTAAAAACCGAGTAAACGCGGCCGAAAAGTGACACATGATACCCATGTCTACAAACTATGTATTTATGGCATGTCGGTGGCGGACCGAGGAAGAAGTGGCGGCGAGCGGGGGAGGAAGAATAGATCGCGAAATATTTGAAAGTGGCTGATAAAAACGTGCAAATGACTGTTTTCACTTGTAAAGAATTAAAACAATTTTCAAAGTTCTTCCGAAGTTCAAATTACCTTTGCAAAAAATATTTTTTTGGGTGCTGTTATCTAGAATCAAAAGATCAGCGCCGAATTCGAAACTAACTAGAACTAAAGCTTTTTTTTTTCAAGAAAACAATATGATGAATACATGATTGGATACATGAACTTCCGGCCCAACAAACGAATTTCTGCTTGAGAGGATTGGAGTTGCCCACTGCAATTGTTGGTGAATAGTAATGAGCAACGATATTTTCTGAATTCTGAGACCACAAATTGTTCCTACAGTTTATCATGTTTTTGTGTCGCAGGTTTTCCGGTAGCTTACTCGAAATACGTTCAAAAATTTTCCCCATCTTGAATATCGAAGCAGCAGTTTTTATCGGATACTTTGCCAGATTTCGGTTGATATGGTGAATCTTCGTTTACGCAACGTGACAACACAGTTTTTGGCCAATAGAAAACTCATTCTGTCAATCTCTATTCGAGAAGAATCGACAAACCATTTGCAAAACCACTTTGTTTGGATTAAGAGTGACATGACTTAGAATGAAGCTGGAAAGAGCGAGCAACATTCAGTCAGGTTTAGTGCTCTTTCAAGATGAAAGGGACTGTGATAAAAGTGGTGTGCTGTTAGTTACTGACTTTGTTAATTACGCATTGACAAACACCGATTGACTTTTGTGTGGGTAGTGCATGCTATGCATATTTTCAAAATATCCACCCAGAATCGGCGAATCGAGAATTCATTAAACTATTTTTGCGGCTTTGCCAGTGTTGGAGCTACAAATATGCAAAGGATTTTCAAGCTCCGATGCGGATAGAAAATTTACTAGTCGAATTCTCAGATTTCCTTTAGTCTTCTTTCATCTACTTCCGATCAGAGGTCCGTGCTCATGCGATTAAGTAAAGTCGTTAGGTGGAAACCAGCCGTCGGAAACTTCGGTCTAGTCAAAGATGCGAATGATTGGCTTGCAGGATAAGCTACACTGAATGCGGAGAAAATGTCTGAAGACTAGTACGTTTCCTTATAAATAGTTCCCTCATCAAATCTCAGAAAAACGAAAGCCCAAAGTCAGACGACTTATTCATGCGCAAATATGGATGAAAATGCAAACATTTCGTTCAAACAGCGGACATGCGTAAAGTAAACATTACTCACGATATATTCGCCTCAGTCAAATAAGGGATCCGCATGGCTTTTTTCTAAAGAAAAACAACAAAAGAGTTGAGTGTTCGATGTCAAGAGTTCAACTATCATAATTTTCCTCCAATGACAAAACCCAGCACTAAGATCAAATTGCTATCCGAGTGAAGCCTCAGCTGGTGCTAATTATAACAACTCGGAGTTTCACGAAAAAAATCAACTGAGAAATAACACCGAACTTATAACTTTACCTGCCCTGCGTCTTGAGGAACGAAAATCGGCATTATGGAGAATTATAATGGCGATGATGCATGGATCAATTCCAAAAAAAACCCTGCACTTGTTTAAACAAATCGTACTCACAATTAGTATTCCACCGGTAATGAAGTCGTACCACCAGGTGGCCCACTACGATGCACGTGGACGCACACCCATCGTCCCGCTTTTTTCTGCCATACTCGGGATTCTTGCGACTGCCGGGTACGAGCTTCACCATTTCTGCAAGTAATTAGTGTTTTCACTCTAACATTAGCTCAGATATTCTCACATAAAAATTTGGAAAGCAAAGTTTTATATTAAACCAAGGAATTACTTCGGAATAATGGATTGGGAACGTAGTGAACAATATCACTCCTTCACTCATTTCAAGTCGGAGTACTTTGGGCGAAAATACCTCATTAGCCGCAACTAACTTAAAGTACCCTATTCTCCTTGCAGAATGCTGCCGCATACAGAGAAGTTTACGCTCATCAAAGGGATCTTTGCCATTCGCTAAAATTCCTCTGGGAATCGCGCATATGTACAAGTCTGTCAATCATTTTTGCTCCACCAATAACACGCTGAAAGCATTACCCGGTCACAAAATCCTCTACTAAGATCCTTCACAAACTGAATGCTTATGGCACTGATAACCCATTCTCGTAAAGCACATAGAAGCACTATCTTTTTTATCAGTGCGCTTCAAAGCAAAAGATTGCATCCATGCATAAGTCGATTTGGGCGTATTATTAGACGTAAAAAAACTCCTCAAGCTGAAAAGGAAGTATCGCACATGTTTACGTGGACATAGCACTAGTGACTCATTAAGTGACTGTGGATTTCGTAACATTATATTCACAGGAACCGGTATTCAATAATGTCGACGACCTTACCTATGATATTTGCAAACAGATGTGAAAGCAATGAAACGTCCTATGGATTAACTACTGAAAATACTAATAATCCCAAAAAAGCGTTTAAATAATGGATGTGTCAGATTATGATATGAAGGCTGAAATTCTGCCCATCGAAGCAAAAGTGCATATTTGTGGGTTTTCATACATGCACATACAGCTTTTAGGTGTGAACAATTTTGCGCGCAGATGTTCCTCAACTTTAGCACATGATGTTTTTTGACAATCTTCACTTACAATCGCTCATTGATTCATATTATTACATCGTCAAACAACTATACAACTATTTGTGTAACTATGAGAGATAAAAAATTTTCACTGCACAAAAACAGTCCTGATTTTGGAACGGCTGTTAGATTTCGTGAAACTAAACGCCTTTTACAGAAGGTGCGCACACAGCAAAGAAAGTATCAGTAATAGGATAATCCGTGAGTCTACCTCTCCCACCCTTTCCCATTTACCAAAGTTGACTAATCAGTCCTGGGAATTTGACCTTGCACTTTGATCGTAAATATTTTGATCACTAAAGGCGGCGGAAAAATTGCTCTGCCTGCGACTAATAAGAAAAAGAAAAAACGACGAATATAGGTTGAAACAGAAAAAAAGCATGATTTCCTGATTATTTCACTAGCAATGTATTGCTTCTTTTCTTCGAACAGAGGATAGGAAGAAGCATCAACCATATGTTACACACCTGTCCATGAACTGCGTCAATCGTACATACGCAATACATGCACCTTCTTCGCCCATCACATGCACATTCGGATTCAACATCGTTGTGTGCAGCTGTCCTTTTCGCGGGTTATTACTCCCTAAAAACCACATAAAGATGTCTGCAGTTGTTTGAGAGGATGACAGCCAACCAGAGCTGCAGAAGAGAGAAAATTATTGCCAAGCGTAAACATTGCTTTATGCACACACGCACAATAATAGTCAGCTGACGCAGGAGCGTAACATAAGGCGCATCAGCATTCATTTTTCCACAAAGTTGAGCATGGATGATGAAAAACACGCTATAAAGCCTAGGCTTACCATAATCGAAATAGAATCGATGAAATTCGACTCCCTCGATGAGGTTTCCTAGCGCTTCTGGTTCGAAGCATGTCATTGCCGGATCACATAATTTCCTGAAATTATGGACTCACTCGTCAGGAAACAATTCACAAAAGCGCATGAAATAAATCGTTAGAGCAGCAACAGATAAGCAAGAGAGCGAATGAAAAAAAAAACTGACGTGTAGACATCGAAATCTTTGCACGAAATCGCATCTAACAGCTGTTGCGTGACCCGTACGATTTCTTGTTTTTGAGCTGAAAACATTCGCAATTCATTGGAAAACTCCAACGCTATTCTTTGACTAGTTCAAACACTTAGAAATACACAGCTGCAAATGCATTCACACATCATGCAGCGGCTAGGATGAGCATGGTTTTAAGAAATTCGGGGATGTTAAAACTAAAAGCTATTTTAGGTATAGATATAATCGATGGTAATCGATTTTTAAAAGATTATATTGAATGAATGCATTTGAAAAGAAGGCTAGGAGCAAAATGTTAAACTGTAAAATGCCATCATTGAGAAGACACACAGGATATGAATAGCAGAAACTCTCAGAGTTGGTAGAAAACCGCCTAGTTCTCAATCCTAAAGTAAAGTGAAAAAAAGCCCTATCCGATAATTGAATCTGATTTTCGCCTTCATCCACATAATGACTAGCTAACGACCAATACGAAACTAAGAATGGGAAGGGGGCGTTGAAGAAGAAAGAGCGTTCAATGACGCGATGGCTAAAAGCATGGTTGTAGCCAAACCTGATTATGCAAGCTTTCCCGCAGAGTTAGCCATTCTGAGTGGGATTCTCTAGGAAACAATCGAAGATGGCCGATTGGGACCAGATTATACTGCGCCTACTACGACCCGACAAACTACCTATGGCGCCTGAATCCTCCTGCAATTCGGAATAAGAACATTTTCCCTTTTGGTATTTTCACACCGTCCCTTGCATCTAAATCATAGGGCGAAGATGGTTGTGAGTTGCAAGTAAGATTAGCAAGTATTATCTTGGATTGTAACCCACGTACCAGCATGATGGATAAAGTAGCTTTTATCTTTATGAGAAAAAGTCTTAAGCGTATGTCCGAGAAATCTAAGCAAGAGTTATCACCCATTCGCCCAGGCAGAAAATAGGTAGATAAAGTGTCTTGCAAAATAACGCTGTAAAATTAAACTTGCGAGAAATAGCTAAAGTCAAAAAGATGAGTAAAAGTTTGCAATCGATTCGTAGCCGCCCACAATATAGAATTTAACGAGATGGGAAAAGGCTGCTACCTATACTCATCGTTGTCGAAGCCAAAATCTGCTGGATTTGCCTCGCATCTCAGAGAACGGCGATTCCTGCTCGATAGTGGAGTGCGAAAAGGCGTCCGCGTTTGAGGTTCGATAGAGAGTGTGAGGTGGCCAAACACCTCAGGCTACTTCGAGCCGCCGAGTCAGGTGTTGGTGAAGTACTCGGCACAAACAAAGCAAAGTGTGGACCGCCGCAACGCCGGCAGACTTGGCCAAGGCAACGCCCGTCTTCGGGGCGTGGTGCGTGTGACGACGTCGTCAGCGCGTCGCCGCTCGCAGTCGCCTCTGCCGCAGCCGATTCCATATCAATAATCCCCCGTGTGTGCCTGTGATGTATGAGAGCGTGAGTTGTCTCTGTGTATGTGTGTGTCGGTCGGTTGCCCTGTCTGCTCGCTAGGACAAAATCGATCCAGGGGCAGAGGGTGATTTCCAAAAATATTACGTTAGTCTTAGCCGAAAGTTGCGCTGTGCTTCGTCATTACAACGGTCCGAGGAACGCGACCGCAAATGGACTCCAAATCCTGGCTTTAGCGTCTTCCTGTGGTGTTGAATGATGGATGCTGAGGAGGCAATGCTGGACAGATGAACAAATGTGAAACCGAAGCCAACGCCTTAGCTCTACTGAAGACTATTAGATGCCATTTCTCAAGCAAAGATTTCAACATATTTGACAGTGGCGGAACCAGGAAAGGAGGCGGGAGTGGATAGCAACATTTTTCACCGGTGTGCATGAGTTATGATATCTTGCGAATGATTTGTTTTTGTATCAGCATACTTTAACAAACGATATTGAGTAATTTTTGGCGGCTAACGAGACTTTTGAGACCCAATAAAGCTTGAGGAGGGCGTGGCAACACCATGTCCATTTAGCTAGGAGCGTCCCCCTTCTCTCTTACACGAAAGAATACCAAATCCGTCATTGCTCTTCGCGTACCATGAGAACAGGCGCACGTTTGGCAAACCATTCAGCATCCAAAGGGAGTTATTTGAAACCAGATGTCGTTTAAAGGCACCGTCCACCCAGATTCTCGACCAGGTTTCTGTCATTTCAGGGGCTTCTCATGTCCCTGATTTCAAATATGAAGTCGAAAATCCGCGAAATTCCCGAGAATCCCCATTCCGGAGAACCCACAGGCCGGCTTCCCAGAACGGTGATTGGATGAGCGCGCACAAATGGGCGGGCATGGATGGGGAGGGGTGGGCATGGATGGGGGGGGGGGGGGTCCTCGTGCATCTTCGCTATTCCGAAGCGATTTTCTCGCTTCCGAAGCGGCATACTGCCCCGCGACTTGGGCATTGGCTTGATAGGAGGCCCTACTGTTATATACTGCCAAAAGCTCAACACCGTCAACTTAGGGCAGACGGTGCCTTTAAGAGTGTGACTATATGACTTTTTTTAGCGCTTTACGAGATTGATGACCATTTTTTAAAATTGCACGTGGTTTTGAGCATCACTTTGTAGCTTGCTCTGCTGAAACAGATTGCTCTGGTCAATACAGTTGTCCTCATCCCACAATGTGGGCGAATTCGAATGTGAACTGGAGCAGGTAGGTTGCGTCAGAGCGCGGTACCTAGGACCCCCGTTCAATTTTGCGAATTCTTCTTCATCATTTTCCCGTAGCTGCTTGTTAATGTTTGTTTTATAGATAAGTCTACCCTACCTTGGCTATTTTGTTGTTGTCCAGCGTTGTTTCATGGTCTCGTTCCTTCACCTTTGATTACAGGTGACTAATCTAGCAGAAACGATACAAGACCGAAATGCTGCTGCTGTAAATCCTTCTTTGGTAAGTAGCAAATCCCAAATTGCTGCTTAATTGGATTGTAAGTCATAAATTTGCCATCTGGGTCGTTCTAAAAGCCCACTCAAACAATAACTGAGCATAGCGGCAGGAAAGAACGCATGACTATCGAAAACGTCAATTTTGACTAAGAGTATTGTCTTGTTACATAAACTAGCAAGAAACGGCGAAAGAAAGATAAAAAAGGAACATGTAAATCTGAACTGGAGACCGAGGTGCCATGCTCTGTCGCGATCGGCTTGCTTGATCAGATGTCTGATAAGGTGAGGAGAACTATAATAGATTGTTATCCCAACATATGAATTGCCTAAAATCCAAAAACTCCCTCGAATACTTTGTATCAGACAACTGGTATGAGTTGTCTACATAATGTTCATCGTCCGCCTAGCGTACTCTAGACAACCCTCGTGTGTCCTACAATGATAGTGTAAGACGGTGACTTTACCCTGCGGATTTAACAAGGAAGAGATACAAAGTCGATCCAACCGTTTGCAGTAAAACATATTTGGTTCGTTGGGTTAGAACTTAAGATCAAATCCACAATCGTTATCTGCTGAGCGGCCTAAAAAACGATATGACCATTTTAGCACGCGGAGAACCGCTCGCAACAGGATAAGAAAGTGTGACCGTTTGCTTTTGAAGTTTCACACTTACCACTTACAGCAGCACCTCGGAAAACTGCATGTTTAATTTTATATTTATTATATACTTGAAGATATATACTTATACTTTACTTACCTCGAAAATGGTTTTCTTTTGAGAAGACCTTCAGCAGATATACAGGCTTGATCTTAGCCTTCTAAACGAGGTAAGCCAAGTATGCCTTGCTACAAACGGCTGGACATATTGTCCTTTCTCGTAAGTTAAAATCAGCTACGCTGCGAATTCCTTTACCTTTGAGAGAAGAAGCAAATGTTTTGGAAAGTACATTTCTCTTCAGACTTCGGAAAAGCTGAAGTAGATGAATTAGAGGTCTGCTTCTCAACTTTTTTTCTAGCTCAAAATGGCCGTTTGCAATTAGGATAGGAATATAAGGCTCGAAAACAAACTTGTTCTCCACTAATAACGAAGTTTGGTTTGCATATTTTCAGCCTTTCCATTCCCCCTCCTCTGTTTTCTACCACAATCTGCAATACAAAATCTGACTCAAAGGCGCGTAAATCTCCAATATCAGCTTAGCGAAAGGAGGCGGGTGGAAGAATGGACGAGAATGGAAGAGGGGAAAGTTTTCAATGCTCCAGACGTCACCGCGTTGTTGCTATAAATAGCGGAGTTATCTAAGCAAAAGTACACAATGAAATGAGCTTACTCCATGGACTAAACACTGCTACATCACACATCACAAAGAGGGAAGACTCCTATTGCCAGCATTAAATAAATCTTTCAGTTTAATGTGCAAAATCCTCGACTAAACACAAAAAGTCCACCGATTATCTTTGCCGCTACGAGGTTTTTTAGTTGCTTTTTCGTACTTTCGATGCTACAGGAACCATCCCGCAATTAGTTTTCCGCAATTACACAATGACTGACGTCTCGTGCCTCGACCTTGGAGGATACAGCATCAAGAGTTTTAAGGCTAGCTGTGTTTTAGACGATATGTGTAGACTAGGCTAATGTTTATCTTTAAAAATCGCAAACTTTCAAACCGAGACTAGGGTGAGCAACGACCAAATTTCAGAAGTGTTTTGGACTAGGGACCAATCCAAACATAACCTAACTACTTCTCAAAAAAGTCCAAAATTAAAAGTTAGTATGCTCTCAAAAAGCGATTAGACTAGATTCTTCGATATATTGTTTTCAAACGGGCACCACATTTGATGGAACAAAGGTTTCTGAGAGATCTTGGAAGCATTCGATGCAGAATTTCATTCTCTTTCTAATGATTATGAAAATGTTGCAAAACAGTCAATGAGCTTTCAGAAAATAACCAAAGTCTGCGACCCATGCTTTTGAGATAATCTAGTTCCACAATTTTTTAAAACTTTCACATCAAAGCTCAGAAGAAGTTCAAGTAACTGTTCCATCGAGCAAACCATACTGAATGCAAAACTACTTTTTTATCCCTTCCATAGCTTGTCATACATTTTTGACAGAATTTTAACTGATGCTACCGATTTTCATACTTGGGCAGCTAAATCCTCGTAGAACATCAAAGGAAGAGCAGCTCGGTCACTATTCGACGCAGCATCTTCTCCTCTTTCTAACAGGTGGTTTTTGTTTCCAATTCTTTTAGTTTTCGGGGATAAAATCATCACAATTAATTTTTTCAAGGAGCCTCATGCTGTACCTAAAAATCACGAACTTTGATATTTCGAACCCGTAAACCCTCACTTGCTTTGCAAAGTTAGTTCTAACTCATAGTACAGTCTTGGTAGTCTCAAATTCCGAAAAATTATGATGTTTGCTGCGATTGTAGCTGAGGTGGGTCTGCCAAAATCCGATGGTTCTGTTAAAAAATATTTTAAAAAATTACGGTGATCTATGAGAAAGAGAAAAAAGTAGCACTGTATTCTATGAGGTTTATTCTATCGAACCGTTACTTGAACTTCTTCTGAGGATTGATATGAAAGTTTTAAAAAATTGTGAAACTTGACCATTTTAAAAGGCATGGGTCGCAAGTTTTGGTTATTTTCTGAAAGCTCATTGACTGTTTTGCAACATTTTCATAACCATTAGAAAGAGAATGAAATTCTACATCGAATGCTTCCAAGATCTCTTAGAAACCTTTGTTCCATCGAATGTGGTGCCCGTTTGAAAAAAGCGAAATTACTTTTGAAACGACCTAATACATGAAGTTGGGAATACCATAGTTCGTAAGACTTCAATTTCGAGTTTGTAAAAATCATTGGGCTAAAGTCCGTGACAAACGTTACGTTAAGTGGAGTTGTGTGAATCACTAGAATCCTTCATGGTGTTAAAACAAACTCCTTGAGAGTGGTTAACCCATGAGCTGTCTCAATTCCGACACCATATATGCACAAAATGGCATCTTACTTAAAAGCTCCTTTTCCACTATGAACGTATAGAAAAACCCGATTTTGCTCAAATGACACCTGCCTTCGAAGAGATGAAAAAAATTTTCTTATGCCAGCGTTATGGTCAGTTTCTCAATTTCAGCAGCTATCAGGTATGGTCAGATCTGTAAGTGGCCAAAAACCCTATATAGACATGCCCATATCAGTAACAATCGTTGTGTGATGTCACAACATACATAGGATGTTGAACGACATGCAAGTTATTCGTTTGAATACCACAGCAACATATTGCATGCGAGAATAAATTATTGAATAAAAGCGAATTAGATTTTTTTACATAGGATGATGCAGCGTGTGTGCCAAAGCATAACAAAAGCAAAAGCAGCACAAATTCTTCAACACAGCACTACCGCACATTTTCTGGAATAAACATCTAATTATGACTTGTAGGTTGTTGCATGGCTCAACTCAGTTGGTAATTTTCAATAACAAAAGATAGTAAGATTTTCGTGGCTGACTTACTGGTTATGATATGCTACTCGTGGACGTATATCAGATAGTGAAAAGAATTTGAACAAAAGATGTTTGAATTGAGTGCTATAAAACCTCTCATCAAATTTTTTATGGGACTGCTTGAGGTGAATTTTGAATGCAGATGTAGACGTAAGGGTTCAAAGACAAACGCTACTGATTTTGTTTTTTCGAACATTTTTTTCTTCTTCCACTTTCCCGACCATTGCCGTTCGCAGACAGAGAAAACTGGAAATCACTTTGTTGGATTGTAATTTGACGTCAGGGTGTTACCCCACTATACATACTTTACAGCGAAATATTCTGAAAGGCATTACCTTAACCAAACTAAATAGGCAACTACAACGCCTTCCCCATCACTGGCAATCAGAGATAAATTTCAGGTCAAAATGGGAATGCCTTTTATGTTCTGTGGCACGTGATTGGTCTATCACAAAATGGATCTCGACTTCCAACAAGGAAGAAAAGAGATTATCAAAAATTTTCTTCGTCTGTAAAAGGATCTGTGCCATTTTTAATCTCCTGCATTGAACTACTGCGATATAATGAAAACTTAATTTGCCGCAAAATAAATCTTACAACCTGTTGAGGTTAGACTGCCTTGGAAGCTTTTGCGATAAAAAGCGTAACGAATGAAGATTTCGGGATGTGAAGAAACAAGAAAATATCTCAACAGCAATGCTCTAATGTGGTAATTCGAATTTTATTACATATAGCCTGTTCTCCGTCCATGAGGTCTTGCGCGTATCGAATGAACCCAAATAAAGGTGATTTCGGCTATCTATATGCTAAGCAAGGCTCATTGATGCCGCTATTTGGTTATTTCTACACTTCTAGAGTTGAGCGGACGCCGACAACAGCTGTGAACTGCGGTAGTGCTGCGTGATAACTGAACTGACAAAACAGCGCCCGGTTACCTGATAGCGACGAAGACGGCACCGCTTTGGTGGCTGTTCCATCGGCACGCACCACAGTGTTCTCGTGCTTCAGTTGACCGCCTGTAGGTGCGAAGCGAAATTAAACAGAGACAGAGACAGACAGTAACAGAATGACTAGCAGAAGGCTGAATGCGGAAAGAGACAGTACAAGTACGGTGTCACTGTTTAACAGACGGGTTTCACTTTTAACGGGAGAACAGTAGCAGCTATAGCGAGCATTAGCTAGAGAGCACAAGAGCAATTTTTTGCTAGCAGTTTGACGCGGACTTTCACCTCTCGACTTCACCCTCACGAAGCTTCGAATTGCAAACGTCTGTGGAAGAGCAAGCAAGTGACAAGCCGGAGCAGCTGACAGGAAAGTGAGTTGCTTAGCAGCGTGCTATTCCGATTTCACATTTCTCAAAGGACTACTGTTCGGAATTGAGAAGTTTTTAAGGCGGATTATTAGGTTGTCATAAGATGCTGCTGCATTACTTCTTCCGCCTACATGCAAACAAGCGCGGTTAACTTCGACATCATCAAAATAAATGCCAGTAACGGAACCCTCTCCCCCTCGAAAATGGATCCCAATGAGTGGAAATTTTTGAAAGATCTCCATGAAAACGCAAATTCTGAAAAAAAATCGGAACGCGTGGCTGGCTTTATTCGCATACATTTTTGTTACGTTCGTCCCCGAACGGAAACACTGAAACCGCCACTGAAAATTGCGTAAGGTACAGCAGCACCTGTACGTGAGTAAACAGTATCTCATGACAGAAAATTTGCGAAGCTAGTTTGTATCGCAAAAAGGCATTTGTACGCCATTCGTAGTAAGATGGCGCCAGCGAAAGTTCGCGAGAAGGCAAGGTGCTTATTTATCATTTCGTAGATATTACTCCACTGAGAAAAGCTTCGTTTCGCTTCAGCGCCAAACTTTGGAGCAACAGCTATGAGGAGCTCGTAAAAGGAGTTCTCAAAAGTTAGATATCAAAGATACGTCGCCTGAGGCATGTTTATATTTTCTTACGAGCGCAGGGCGGGTCAGCCACGAAAAGATCAAGAAAAAATTGAAATGCGCTTAAAAAGCGCGAAAGCGCAGCAATTTTGCCCAGGACGTTTGATTTCTGTTGTGTCCGTTATATTACATTTACATTGAGTGAAATTGTAAAAAAGTCGTGGAATCGCCACAGAAAGCTACGACTTCTGCGCTAATTTTGTTTTGAATGTACACGAAAAACCCCAGTACTATTTTGGCAGCAGAAAGGAAACGCGAAAACCTCAAAAGTTGTGAGCTTTCTAAGGACAGTCTCATGGCAGTTTTGTTCAAGCCGCCGCATACAAACAGGCTGAGTGGAATAAGGCATTCAGACTAGGTTTTTGCTGTTCATATGACTTGCTTGACAGCAACGTACTTTGTACTGATAGCGAGAGAAAAACTGCGATTGAACTGAGGTACAGAAAAGCTAAGAAGCTAGAAATATCAGGAAATGATTGGCAGGGAAATGAACAAAAGCTTCAAACGCAAATCGTCTACCCGCATTACGAAGGCGAGATCACACAAGAACAGTGAAATAGATGCAGAACAATCCCGAACAAAATCGGTTTTGGTATCGTGGGATTAGAGCAGAGAAGTTGTTACAGAATAAAAGGTGGTGGAAAGGATAGACTTGTTTGGGAAGTAAGCGGAGAAAAAAGTTAATTGTGTTCATAGGTACGCTTAGCAACCTGGTCGGACAAAACATGCGTCGCCGCGCTATAGTATCGAAGATATGGTGAAAAGTAAGTTATTGTGCTGAGAGGACGTGCACCGTTTCATAGAAAACCAAAAGAGTGCTCGTTTTCGAAACTGGAAGTGAAACAATTCACAAATAGAGAAAAATGTGCTATCACCTCTCAACACGCCCAACCTAACACCCTACTTCGAACTATAGAACCGACACATTTATTGTTGTTGAACGTAACGATGCACACATATGGACGTATAACATACAGTAGACAAGAACATTTCCTATTCTTCAGGACGGACAACTCGTACGGGATCGAGATGATGCAAACTAGAATCACAGGACAAGAGGACAGATATCAGGTTTGGTTCACATATTTTGCAAAAGTCATGAACCGAGAATGAGACAACTACTGAAATCACAATAGGACAAAGGAAAAAGCAAAAGTTTTCATGATATCATGATTCACCTTTATCCGATTCAGTATCATCTAGCGTTTGTGATGATTCGCTGGACTCCTTGATCGTTGACGGTGGTCCGCCTTCCTTTTTGTTCAACAAGTTGCGGCCTGAATTAGGGAGATGAGATTTTTTGACCAATTTCACTGGGATTCAAAATGCCACACCTCACCCTCGCACGCTCCAAAAACCGCTACAAACTCACTCCACTTGCGCAGTCTGCGCATCCTACGCAGGCAGTGCGCGATGCTATGCGCGCAAATGACCAGATGACTGACTACGGAGATTCGTCAACATGTAACATCACCCACCCCTTACGCATCGTTATGGTCGTTACGGTACACACAAAGTGTGGTATCGATTATAGGAAAGGAATGCCGGCGAGCGCCGAAAGGTCGCGCCCGTCGAGCTGTGCCGACGGAAAAGTTCCGAACCCGCCCACACTCGGCAGGATCGGCCAGTTTTCTTTGAGAGTCACTTCAAAGCACTTCACGCTCAGATCACTGTATTGACACTCACAACTGCTAATCCCTCGCACTCAATTGCTTACACATACGCAGATGAAACTAACAACACAGCTGAAAACCGTTACCCTAAACGACAGCCGGAAAACATACCGGAGCGGAACAAGATAATTTTCCGTACAAATGTGTAGATGTTAACCGCGAAATTCATCATTAGCAATACCCAATACACACCATTGCGTCTGGCTCTCTGTTTTCCTAGCCACATATGATGCACTCAGCTCTCTGGCACTCTTTTGCGGAATTATACACGTACAAAAGCCTCCTTCGTTATCGAAATAATTTTCAAAGATTGCTTGATGTTTCAATGTTCTTTGTGATTGTGAATGCATTCGTAGGCACATTCAAAAGAGCAGTCATCGAGTGTGCAAGATGAAAGCACTCTAGTGTAAGTCAAAGGTTAAACTAACAAATGAGGACTGCAAAGATTTCAGGAGATCGGATGCGGAGGAGGGAAGCACGAGAAATTTTTCGAAAAAAAGTGTCAACTACGCCCTCCGCTTCCCCTACATGTGAACGCTGTAAAAGATGCCATACCTTAGCTTTCAATATAAAACAAGACGCCGTTGAATTCATTACAAAGACGCAGAAAAAAATTCACAATGTCTCCTATGATTTAAACAAATTACATAGCCACCAGTTGATAGCACCTTTGCCGTGAACCACAGTTTACCAAAGACAATGGAATGATGAAATAAACAAGTCCGTGAATGGCATGAGCACTCAAAAACGCTGGATATGCGCTAATCTTTGTTGATAGGAAGCTTTTGACCCACTATCTAATCAATCTGAAAGTCAAAATGAAATCGTCACTTTTTCGACGAAAACAGCGCCATTTGCGATGATATGGATAGAAAAAAAAGATAATGAGACAGATTTTTCCACTACTACATGAAAGTCGCATTTGCAAAGGAAGAAAACAATAGACCTACGTTGTTGAACTACCTTTTTGCATTCATATAATGTGCTAAAGAGGATGTGAACGTGAAAAAATTCTTTTGGAATTCTAGGCCATTAGCCTTCTGTGTGCTTTTCTTTTTATAAGAGAGGCCTTTTGAAAAAGAACACACAGAAAAGACGTACGACAGCAGTCACATGTGTGAAAACAAGCTATTTTTTGTCTTCGTACAAACGCTTTTCTTCCCCAAAGTAACTGCGCACCTCCCTCTTCCACGGTCATACACCTTCAACATAGCTGGAGATCATAGAAATGGCTAACTATGATAGTAACAAAAGCGCATTATACTTCTTGATATGTCGAAGTCTTCGTGCACTATAGCGCAAGAAAGGAGACTAGAATTATATCGCGAACACGGAATGGTAGAATGAAGTAAGTGGGGCGGAACCGCTAAGCGGTTCCAGCAAACTGTCTAAAGCAGTGATCAAAATTATATACGTTTCATGCAACACTTCAATCTTTTACATCATCGATATTGTACAGGTATAGATAATACCCTCTAAAATCAATTGCTTTCGGTGATACTCGTCATACAAACGATCCCTTCAAAACATGATGTTGTCCATAAAGTATCCATACTGGCAAAGGCTGCGCACTGTGCTAAGTTTCAATCCGCCTGTTCATCATTCTGGATGCTTGAAATGAGATGATCAAGTTCAACTTTATAAACCGCCTCCGCGTATCGTACGCAACTCTCATTACAGTAGGTTATATCATACAGACTTTGAAAAGCAGACCCAGGGTAGAGGATGTCACGTCGCCGAGGCTCCTCCCGCGCGGTCATCTGCCACAAACCATGCGTCTCAACACAGTCCATACCAGATGTCTGCGCAGACGGAGCACATTGGTGACAGTATGTCCTTTAATCCTTAGTTTGTACCTAGTAACTCATCACCATATTGTTGCCATTAGTCGTATGTTATTAGCTCTAACAAGCTCGTTCAAGAGTAATGTTGTCATACAAGCTCTCATCCTCAAAAAAAAAACGTAATTCGATTAGTATGCAGCATTCAAGTGAACAATCGTGCGCGATTAATTTGGGAGAAAGGTTGCAAAATACTTCGCAGATTCCGCAAGCAAAAGAAGTGAAAAAGGACCCGAATGGAGAAGAAAATGATTTCGCTCTAGACTAAAATGTGATGAAGAGAGACTTACAATCAACAACTGTACTACTAGTTGTATCCAACGGCTTTGTTATATACAAATACACCATTATGGAGAAGAGCATCCATATAGGCCAATATTCTGGTACCAGTTGGGCTAGCTGGTCGATGACCGCCATTCGACATTCTCATCGAGGTGAGGACGTGAATGATAAGGGACAAAAGGTTCGTTTTGCTGAGCTGCTGCTGTGGGTGGTGGATGGGAAGCGACGTTGAGTGTGGAGTTTCGTAGAGCCCCTGTGTAATAATTGACCGAACAAACGTGCAGGAGTCGTCGGTGAATGGCGACGCTACAAAAAATCTGACTGGAATTGTACCATATTGCATTTCTGAGATGGAGCTGACTGACACTTTTTACTCTTTCGCGATGGAAGAAGCCGCACCATTTATGGCGCAATTCATATGTTGAAAAATTATTAGCAAAGACTTGTCATCATTTTTAGGTTTTTATACTGTTATTGCAACACTATAGTCAAGTAAAGATCTTGTAGAAAAGATATTGCATGGTTGTAGTCACCAGAGAACGAATCAACTTCATCATGGAAAATAATCGGAAAGCAAAATCAATACAGCATGCAAATTCGAAACGAAAAGATTTTGTACTGTCAAATGTGTAACAAGTGTTGGAGAGCAACAAAGTGACAACGTTTTTCGATCAGCATTTGGGCCACGTGCTGAGAAACAAAAAGCTAAAGTTCCTCAAACATACAAAGGAAACCGTTTTCATGATAACAATACATTTATCAACTAAATTTCAACACTTCCATTTCCATTGTGCACGGTCACACGTATTCGTGCGATTGGAAATAAATTTATCATGTCTAATGATCAAAGTATCTTTGAAAAGGTCTAATCACACAAAAAGTCCCAAATGTGACCGTCTTATCTCTAGCAAAAAAGCTAACTATCCTTTTCATGCTCTTATGGAACAGTTCCTGATGAATAACGAGAAAACCTCGATGTTGAGAACTGCAACAATTGCAGTGGACAATTCAGATAACAAACACAACTCCTGCAGTTAACATAACATTTCTCTATCCTCATCCTCGTTTCACTGCCATGCTTCACCATATAAAACTATTTCAGGAAAGTAATAACGAGAAATAGACTGGTAGCTCTTTTATTAAACGCTTGAACTCATTTCGCACATGTTGCTAGCCGCCAGCGAATCATAAGTTGAGGTGGAGAAGAAATAAAAAAAATTCCAGCTTAAGCAACTTGGATAATCCCGGTTTTTGAGAAACTGTCGTCGCATGACTTCTAAATTTCAGTTCCTAAGTGAACAAGAAAGGAATAGACCTCGAAGCCTGATAAGATACCGCAATTCATGGCTATAAAAAATGCGCTTCAGAATCATATCTGAGTTTGTCCAGCTCAACAGTGGCTAGCGAATGAGCAGCATGTGGGTAAAAAATTCAAAGTGGCTTTGAGGACTATATCTGCTTCTGTTTATCGTACTCAACGCAAAAAAGGCAGTAATTTCGCAGTCACTTTTTTCTCACTCCGTCAAGAGAAAAACTAAAAAAATGTACGCGATCATACACTGAAGAGGAATAAGGCCTGTCATGCATCCCCGCCTCTAGCAGCATTTGAGGGCACCAGAAATATTGCTACATATCAGGGAGAGTCAAAGACGACATGAATGAGATATAATGGGCTTTAGCTGAATATCTAAGGAAGTAGGTTGCACCGTTTCACGGAATGCAAATATGAATTCTAATGTTTTCGTTCGTAAATAAAATTACGAGTTGGAACAGATGACACTGAAAGATGAAGCCGCCAAATTATGCATAGCGTAGAAAACGCTCAAATATATAAATTCAGGCTGTATTTTCACCAGTACGAATATCTGTTTATCGGTGATAAATACTATATCTGAATGAGTGCATCAGAAAATTTTCAGTGCACACACTATTGACCAGAAGTGCGAATGACAATGAAAGCGGACTCAAAAGTGTCCGGAATCTTACAAAAGAATTGAAACTTTCTATGAAACCCCAAAAAATGCATTACAAATCGCAGATACTTTCATTTTTTCAACAATTCAAATAAGCCTCCAAGTCAAAAAGCTCTTGAAAACAACTTAACACATTCACGACAATACGACCCACCGGTGGGTCGTACGTGTTCTGCCATTTCGGACAATACGACCCACCGGTGGGTCGTATGCTTTCTGTTTGATTTTGCTAGTTTGCGATGAAACTTTTTAGACAAGCCGAGTAAACTCCTGCATACACCTCTTAAAGTACTTCCCAAAAGATTAACATTTCAGACTACAGGGCCCATCAGTGACCTAAAAATATTCCGCAAACTCAATTTTGCGAAATATACTCTGGTCCGAAATGGCAGTCAGCGAAAAATCGGCCCTGTCGTGAATGTGTTAAGAAAACATACGATCATTAACCTTCCATTCTTGATTAGCAAGAGTAAACAATGAGATACCGAATCTAAAAATCCAGAAAGTA